GGTTTTGGCTGAAGATATTGAGCTTTTCCACCGCCTCTTGCCACAGATATAGTCAATCTGATTCCTGTGTGTTCCATCTGGTGAAGTCCACATGTAGAGCTGCCATTTGTGTTGTTGAAAAAAGGTGTTTGCAATGAACAAGTCGTTGGTCTTGCAAAATTCTGCCATGCGAGTTCCAACTCATAGCGACTTCCATTGTGTTTCTGAGGCAGTAAATCTTTGTGGAAATAGATGGCCCAGTCTTCCTTCCACAGAGTCGCTGATGGCCTTGAACCACCAACCTTCTGGTTAGCAGTCAAATGCCTTAGGCACTGTGCCACCAGAGCTAGGGAGAGAGAAATTTATGTCAAGGAAATGACTCACATTATTGTTTGTATGTCCATACATAGTAAGGATTCAGTATATAATTTTTAATGAGTGAATGAATGAATAAACGGATAACTTTAGATGCAATCAGGCAAGGACTTCATCAAGAGTCTATGGGGCAGACCAAGCTGGATGCTTCTCCTGACTCATGTAGCTGCAGGGGCTGACGAACCCAAGATTGGCAGGTAGTACACCAGGCCTCTGGCTTCAGAGGCTGACAAATCCAAGATCAGCTGGTAAGATGGCAGGCTGTTGGCTTACAGGATGTGAAGGCAATAATTCCAAGATTGGCAGGCAATATGGCAGACCACTAGTTCAAATCCAGGAACTGGAAGGCAGATGATGAACCAGATGCAGGATCCAGATGGAGCAAAACCCAGAGACCTTCACTGGGACATTTGTATGTATTGGAAGCAGGCTATACCCCTGAGGAAACTCCTTTTCAACTGATTGGCTATTCACAGTGGATCTCATCATGGGGGATGACTGCATTGTAACTGCTAAATCCCTGAGAATCATGGACCAGACAAGTTGACACACAACCTTAACTATCACAACATAAATAAGAAATTGAAGCCCTAAGTTTCTTGTGACCTTGAAATAGTCTCTCAACTACTGTAGCCCATGGTTGGTGGAATTTTAATGGGGGCTGGAAAATGATTTGAAGTAGACTGATGTCTGTTCACCTGATGTCCATATGTAGTAAGGATTCAATAAATAATTTTTAATGAATGACTGAATAAATAAATAAGTAGATAAATTCAGATGCAATCAGCAGGGACTTCATCAATTTCCTGACACTCCTCACAAGTTTCTGCTCTTCCACCAATCTACACCTCCATCCTCTGACTCAGTGATGAAATTGGCCCTCTCTATCAGCTCTGGGCCCCTTTCCTTTTCAGATCCATCACACCATTAATCATTTACCCATTCCAGTGTTTAAAAGGCTCCTGTCTCCTATGTGCCCTTAGTATCAAATTTGTCCAACTTAGTTGAACCCTCTTATGGCTGTGCTTCAGGTCTTTTCATGATCTTCATTTTTAAGCATCTTTAAAAAGATGCTATAGCATAATGGCTAAAGCACTTGACTGCTAACCAGAAGGCTGGCGGTTCAAACCCACCAGCCACTCCCCGGAAGGAAGGTTGGGCAATCCTACTTCTGTAGTGATACTGCCTCGGAAACCCAAGGAGGGGTCGCTATAAGTCGGGGCCGACTCGACGGCACATAATAACAACAAAAACAACATAGCCTCTGTGTTCTTAGCTTCAACCACCAACCCAGTCAACTCATATGTCCCCATCTCTAGCAGAGATCTCTTTTCCAGGCTTAATCCCCATATATCTTATAATCATTGCAATAGGCTCCAACGAATTTGTCTTGTCATAGTTGTATCCCTTAGGCACTGCATTACTACCAGGAGAATGTTGGTTTTCAAATGTAGCATCTCTGTCATTTCTGCTTAACACCTATATTTCCACCTCACCTGTCTAAATTTGTTCCCCTGTTTCTATACTCTTACATCAAGACTCCTCTGAAAGGCCAACACTTCTAGGAACCCTTCTGTCACCACCTCCACAGCTCTTTCTCTGCAGTATCATGGCTCTCTTCTTTGACCCCTAATACAGCACTGACTAGGAGCTCTGGTAGCATAGTGCCTAAGGCACTTGACTGCTAACCAGAAGGCTGACTCTTCAAACCCACCAGCCACTCCTCAGAAGGAAGGTTGGGAAATCTACTTCCATAGTGATACCACCTTGGAAACCCAAGGAGGGGTTACTGTGAGTCAGGGCTGACTCTATAACACATAACAACAACAACAACAACAACATAGCATTGACTATGCTTTTTCTCACTTCCTGTAAATAGAGTTTTCTCTACTGCTGTCTCTTTCTGTCACACAGAGGGCCCTCAAACACTTGAAGCAAAGAATGGGTGGGTGAACTAATTTCTTATAACACATTATATTTGTCTTCTATCAACAGCATAAAGAAAAGAGCCTATAACAGAACTTGTTTTTGTTATGTGCCGTCGAATTGGACCTGACTCATAGCGACCACTCCTTGGCTTTCTGAGGTGGTATCACTATAGGAGTAGATTGCCCAACTTTCCTTACAAGGAGCAGCTGGTGGGTGGTTTGAATCGGCAGCCTCCTGGTTATCAGTCAAGTGCTTTAGTCACTGTGCTACCAGAGCTCCCTATAACAGAGCAGGCAATCTTTAATGGATGTATCTTTAATGAATCTTTAATGTATGGGTGAAATGAAAAAGATAATGGTGAAATGGAAGTTTCAGATGAATGGTAAGTGGGACAAAAGAAGAATGGGCCTGCAGGTAACCACTAGAGGTCTTTCTCAGAAATAGAATGTCTTTGTTTTGTTTTTGAAACTTAGAATGCGAGTCCA